AAATGGTTTGGTTGAAATGTAATATATAATCTTTATTATATAAATGTATCAAAAATATAATATAATATAATATAATACATTGATAAAGATCGTCGCAAGTCGAGAGAAGCTAGTTTTCACGGCCTTAGGATTAGTCTGGGAACTATTGAAACCCTTGTCCTTCTATTCAATTCGGACGAGGACATTGTTCTGGCAATGGTTTTAAAACATCTAACAGAGTTCGTGCGCAAAAACGAGACGAATATTGAATCGTTGAAAGAGAAGAATGTTTTAAATGCACTGAAGCTTAAGCAGTTTTATCGCGAATCGACGAGCACCACAATCAAGCGTCTGGCTTTATATGTGGCGACTGCAATTATCGAGAGCGAGTACAATGGCTGGCGCTCTTAATGAAAACACAAACATTCTGTTAAGCTGTGGAGAAATAATCTCATGCCAGGTGTGAGTTCTTACACACTCTTACTTACTTATTTCCTTACGTAAATAAAGACGAGAACGCATTAATTAACATTTATAATCAATTTTTATTTATATAAAATAACAAAAATTTTCTTTTGTTTTTTTTTTCGCTTTCTCTCACTCTACAGTTTAAAAACGCTTAAACGAAACCGTTAACTTTTTTTTTATTTTATTTCTTACATTTATGTACATATAAAACACGGTATATGTACACTGAATTGCATAATTAAATGAGAGAGAAAAAAAATGAGATGTCAACGAAACATATATAAGTAAAATCGCATGCAAAAGACAAACTTGACGGTGACTTTTTAAGGGCATTTTTTTTTTTAATTATTTTAATTATCTAACAGAAATAAACAAAAAAAATTTCGTTCGCAAAATATAAATTCGATAAAAGTTAATCGTTTGTTTTTTTTTTTTTTTTCTTTTCAATATACATAACATAGTTAACAATAAAAAGAAATTAAACAAATAAATAAATATAGAAGTTGTCCTTTATTCGAAATGTACAAAATTAATATTATAAAAATGTAAGAAAAAAAAAAATCATCGACAAACAATGGTGGGAAATTTTGAAAATAATTCACTTCTTTATAGTACCATGTGAGGAGAATGGAAAGAGCACAGAGTTCTTTTCAATAAATTGCAACGCCTCGATTCTGTTAAAGTGTGAGAAATTAGAGTCCGATTCTGTTATAGTGTGATAAAGTACAGTCAGATTCTGTTAAAGTATGAAAAATTATAGTCCGTTTCTGCTAAAGTGTGAGAAATTAGGGTTCGATTCTGTTAAAGTGTGG